ATGTAGATATGCCTTAATAAATTCGTTATTATTATTATTATTACTATTACATGGAAGTCTGAAATGTCGATAATCTTGCTTGAGATAAGAACGATTCTTATACTCCTTTGAGACGGTTTTTGGATCTTAAAAATTCAAAATTCCCAGGGATAACATTTCCGCATTCCGCGCCTTGTTTTTCTAAAATATCTTGTTTTGCACATCATTCCCGAAAACAATCTTCATTCTCTTGAGCAGTGAAAAATCCCATACCCTTCAAATCAAAAGTGAACGAATTCTTCATTTTAAATTTCCACCTCATCTTCCGATTTTCTGAATACTCAAAATATAGTAGAGAGCCATAGAATCTAGAAAACAGGGACTCCCAGCATTTCTTTAATTTAATATTAATAAATAACATTACTATTGAATTAGATTGATGGGTATGAATGTCTCTGCGCGCGAGGATTTGGCGGTGTTAACTGTGATGAACCTCTATCACAATGCGGAAGCAATCCTTGTAAAAACTCTGCTCAATGTATCGAAGTTCCCGGATCTTTTGAATGTAAATGTGCAAATGGTTGGACCGGACGATTCTGCGAGGTGAACCGAGATGATTGCTCTGCACAAACCTGTAAGAACGCTGGAATATGTCGAGATAATGTTGATGGCTTCACATGTGAATGTGTGGCTGGGTATAAGGGAGATCATTGTGAGGTCGATATTGATGAATGTGCTAGTGATCCTTGTGGACATTATGGAACGTAAGTATTTTGTGATAAGTTTTAGAAATATATAATATAGATAAAAATATTACTCGACTGCAATTGGTTGATTTCAGTGCAGTTAATCTGTAACAACAATGCAAAAATCTGTAACAAACTGATCTGATTGGTGGAAAAACAATGGGATCTAAAATCAACCAATCAGCTTAAAGCAGTCCTCAAGCAAGGGTCACAGATTGCTTCAAAACAAAACAAATATGGCGGCCGCGCTGCATAAAGTAAAATTTGAGTTCGGGTGGAAAATATGGCTTATATCTTTGTTTCATCCGTATAGGAATCACTACCTGATGATTCCTATACGGATGAAACAGACTGTTGTGGTTTTTCGAGGTAAAACAAAAACTATATTACGCTCTATCTATATGATATTGAGCACTGTTTGTGTTTCGTAAACCAAAAACTTAAGCTATATATATATATATATATATATAAATATATATATATATATATATATATATATATATATATATATATATATATATATATATATATATATATAGTTTAAGATTTTGGTTTACGAAACACAAACAGTGCTCAATACCATATAGATAGAGCGTAATATAGTTTTTCGTTTTACCTCAAAAAACCACAACAGTCTGTTTCATCCGTATATATATATATATATATATATATATATATATATATATATATATGAAATATATATATATATATATATATATATATATATATATATATATATATATATATATATATATATATATATATATATATATAGGTGAATGTCAATAAGTATATTGAGTGTCGAATCATAAGAATAGAGTGCTCGATACAAAAGTAGAGTAAATAAAAGACAAACTTGATTTGCTTCGTTTATTAAAACATTTATTCACGACAATTTTGTTTGGTATGGCAAACTAGGCTTGCCACACACTCATCTGACTCACCTGATGAGTGTGGCAAGCCTAGTTTGCCATACGAAACAAATTTGTCGTGAATAAATGTTTTAAACGAAGTAACTCAAGTTTGTCTCTTATATATATATATATATATATATATATATATATATATATATATATATACAGGGACGCCGGAACGATAATAAGGCAAAGGGGGGCGGACGCACACCAAGAGCACCTCTACTGAAAAATTTTTTTTTCACTGCAAAATTTTTTTGGCGACCCCCCCCCCCCCCCCCCTGTACCATTTTAAGGGTCCAAAATTTTTTCCGGACATACCAAAATTTTCCGTGAAGTCAAAAATTTTTCCGGATACCCTAAATTTTCGCCATTTCTTCAAAATATTTTTCTAAATTCCAAAAATTTTCCAAAATTTTCCGAAATTTTTATAAATATAAACTATAAATTACCTGAATCTCATGATTTTCCTACAAAA